GTTAGCTCATGCAAACCCCCCCCCCCCCCAAGATGTCCCAAAAAAAACCCCAAAAAAGCAAGCTGTAAACAGTATGAAACCTTTCAACATAAAATAGTTGCTGTCAGGACATTAGGCCCCCAAAAAAAGTCAAGGGAAATTTTTTCATGCTTTCAAGCATGGCTTTCAGGCATACACACCCTGCCCAGTTGAGGCAACTGGTTTGCCAGCTGCTCCCTCAGTCTAGGTCACCACTGGCCTTTGTGTTCTACTGCTGTGCCATCACTGTGACCAGATGCCACTTCCTTAAGTTCTACTAAAAAAGAACAGCATCTGGACACGTAGTAACAGACCTGGGGTCCAGAGTGCCAAGGGAACGAACACACATGCACGCACATCTTCTTTTCTATGAAGCACCTCAGGACCTTCAAAGCAGCTTGGTTTGCACAGGTCTAGTTGTGGAAGCAGCAGGCTTCCTGGATTTCTGAACTTGTGTATCTCAATGTGAAGAGCAGTAACAACATTACTGTCAGGCATGTGTTCCTGCACTAGCACAATGGTCTGTAGTATAGCTCACTGGCCAAGCATCTCAAGTGATCCTACAAGGGACATTAACCCCCTGAACACTAGCTGTGCCACAGCTTCTGCTACAGAAGAAGGGCCAAGTCTTGCTGGAGGATGCCAATGCAGTGACACTTTGTGCCAGATGCAGGGACAAGCCTTAGTGAGACTGTAAATCAGCAGCACTGAAAACCAAAACCAGAGGGGTCCTGCCATCAGATGGATGCTCAGTGATCTTTCCACAGACTACTCTACTTGTCTTCCACAGAATGCTCAGTCAGAGATTATGCTGCAAACAAGGATACACACTAAAAAGGTAAACAATATTTATATAGGGCATTTGCCTACCTGAAGGAGCATGCACACAACCAGGGAGGCAAGTGCTTACCTTGAGTGTTCTGGAAGTAGTGGCGCCAGAGCGGTCTGATTTTGTCCTGGCCACCAACATCCCAGACTGTGAAACTTATATTTTTGTATTCAACTGTCTCGACATTGAAACCTGAAACAAATGTTAGCATCCTGAGTATATGGAACCAGTCACTAGGGCCACCATTTAATACAGTAGATTACATGTTTTCCCTTGCATAGCCTTAAAACGTCTTTCTGCCTTGGATTAAAGTGATAAACTTGAGAAGGAGGCCACACTCTTTATTCAAATACAGTTATTTAAGTGGAATATGATAGTTTAGTCATATGCAGCTATACTCAGTTATAGATAAGGAAATGCATGTACTACTGGAACTGAAATCTGAGGTATAAAGAACCATCTTTCCAGTTTGGAATTCAGCCCAACTCTGAAGTTCAATACTGAATGCCCTTTCAGTGGCATTGTGGATCTGCAGCAAGTCACAGCCACTCTGGACTATTTAATGCAGCAGACTGGAACTGCTGTAATACTTCCTACTATCTGGAGAGTGATGGTTCAATCCAGATGCTGAGGGAAAGTCAATTCCTGTAGCACCCAAGAATACTCCTAAATGGTTTCCTGTTTGGGTGCTAATCCAAGCCAAGCCTACCTGTTTTTAGCTGGGAGGGTGGGGAAGGGAAAGAGGGGAATAGAAGTTCACAGCACAAAAAGGACAACTTTATGCTGTAGAAGAACATGCTTTTTCCCCACTGCCCCCCACCCCCTTTCTACAGCACCATCACTTAACTGAAGCATATGCTAAATGGATAGAGGCAGATCATATGAACAAATCAAAGTGGTTAGGAAGGAACCTTGGCTACATAAGAATTAAGTTACTATACACTACTTATTAATATTTTCTGCAGTTTAGTTATATCTGGTATTTTAGGTTTCTTATCTCCTTTAGGTCAGCAAACATCAGATTACGTGGTTCAGGCTACCCAACACTGGTCAGGGAATCGCTCGATGATGCCTGCATCTTCACCAGTAATTTACTGCTCTACACAGAACAGTACTGCTGCTTTGTACTTTTGAAAGGTTGCAGTTTTCTGCCCCACCAGCACTTTGCAGATGAAGCAGTCTGTATTAGTCTGAAGCTCCTCAGATAAGAGGAACTGCAGAAGTGAAAGTTGCATCAGCCCAGCACTAAGTTTTCTGGGCAACTAAGTCCACAAGAAAGTTTGTGAACAGGCAAGATAGAGTGTTTAGCATTAAACACATTTTGAAGATCCTCCAATATTTGGTTCCATGTTAATTTGAAGCAGCTGTATCAAACAAGCCAGGAGCTCCATGCACCATTAGTGTAAAGGCTTTTAGGAAAAATCAGAGGTTTCTGCATGCACAGTATAACAGAGCATTCTAGTTCTGAGAAAGGGTACTCAGATTACAGACACTGGTAAAACCTCCAGCATCATCCAAAGGAAGACTTGAAAAAGTAACAGCCTTGCATTTACTATGTGATGGGAACTCCCTGTTGAAGACTGTATCCCAGGGGCAGGCAATTATTTCAGGTGGAGGGTCACATACTGAGTTTTGGCAAGCCATTGAGGGCTGCATGACAGGCAGCCCGGGGCAGATAAACATTAGTCTAAATTTTTAGGGGCCCCACAGGCTGGATAGAATGGCCTGGTGGGCCACATCTGGCCCACACCTGCTGTATCCCCTCAGCATTTCAAACTTTAAGCAGAAGCCTTTTGGGATGGAATTAGGAAGCACAGCAGTTTTGTTACTGATGTACAAGTGGTAACTTAAAAGCTCTAATGGGCATTGAAATAGTTGCATGATTAGATCTACAGTGATGCCCTGTTTATAGTTGTGCTAAGGAATGTGTTCTACCTGGCCACATGAATACTCTTAAACCCAGCTCTTATTATTAGTAATTTACTGTTGAAATATTACACTCTTCACCTCTAACTTGAAAATTCAAGGCACTAATTCAACCTTCTCACTTGGAGATTTTTTTTTTTTTTTTTTTTTTTTTTACAGTTAGTTCAGGAGTAGAAGAACTAACTTAACACAGGTTTCTCCTATTTATAAAAAAAACCTCTGGCCTTAAGTGACTTACATTCCACTGTCTCAACCCTCCATCAATCAAAACCCACCACTATTAATATTCTGCATTAGAATGAAGTGGCCACTAATCATTTTAGTACCAGGAATGTAGAATAAAGTTAAAACTCTATATGAGTGGAGGAGCCTGGTCTGGGAACAATCACTGGCACAAGCATGAGCTGTGAACATATAGCAGGGAAATTAGAGCTAGCATTAGAGTCCACTGTGAACCAAATCAGTAAGACAGTTCCTTCTTCATTTGTAAAACCTACCTATTGTTGGAATAGTGGTCACAATCTCCCCCAGCTTAAGCTTGTAAAGGATGGTGGTTTTCCCTGCTGCATCCAAACCTACCATTAGAATTCGCATTTCTTTCTTTCCAAAGAGGTTTTTGAACAATTTTTCAAAGATGTACCCCATTGCAGCAATGTCTGCAAAAAAAAAAAAAAGAAAGAGACATACTTATTTAAAATCCCCCGTCAATCATGCAAGCATGCAAAAAGCTTAGTAGCCTTCTTTTCACTGCAAAGAGTAAGCTATAATCTTATTTAAATATACCTTTTTAGAATGTTCTTTAGAACAGCATTTCTTAACCCATGGGTCACAAGAATATGAGAGTTGTGTACAAACTTTAAAAATGGATGCTCCCTAAAAGGAGAAAGAAGTGGGAAATCGTGGCTCTTCCCTTGATGGCTGACAGAGTTCTAGCCTGCAAGGGGCTGCTTGCCCCCCTCCCCCCGAAACACCCACTCTCCAACCCACACTGGTGGCTTGGGTATGGGGGGCAGGACTGGCCACTGATGTTTACAAATGGGTCCTGGTCCAAAAAAGGTTGAGAACTACTGCTTTAGAACACCATCAGCATACTTTCAATGATCACTGAAATATGCAAGATTCCCCTCCTTTTCTCTCCTAGAAGTTTGGGGTCCAGGGAGCCATGTTTCCTCACTATTTATTTATTCAGACAACTGTTACCAGCTGTTTTAAAGCAATCAAGACCAAACGTAACTGAAGTAGTTTGAGTGCTAATCAAATACTGACAGTTTAATTAGAAGTGAAAAGCCACTGTAAGTTGGGTAAAGCAGCTTGGCGTGACAACTAAAGGCATTAATGTTTTCACTAGTCAGGAACCAGCAGTATTTCTAAAGCAAAGAGTATACCCCACTTGCATATGTACCAGGTTAACATCCAATTTGCTTAACTGCATAAGGCAACACTAATACTCATTTTACTGCCCACTGCTTACATTGCAAGCAGTAAGCACTTAACTAATGTTTCACTGCATAGCATTTTTCAACTCCCACTATAAACACTCCTAAAGGATGCAACCTTGTCCAGAGTATAATTTTTGCAGCCCCAGATCCAAGTAGCTTCCATCATTTTAAAAGGCTTCTAGTGACAACTGATAGTCACCATTAAAACTTTAAGTGCTGCAAGTTCATCTATTCCAGAACTGCTAATACCACAGCACGGTTTGTACTGGCTACATGTCCTGAAGTAAACAGTATAGCACTGAAGTGTTTGGAAGCCATCACAATCCTCATGACCCAAGCATAGCAGTCTTGCAATCCTTGCAGAGCTGGATATTTGCCTCCCCCCCCCCCCCCA